ACTGTTGTATTTTTTTATGAGCCCTCAACCATAAAGTAGGGACACTGAGAGATGCAAGTATCATTCAGACACAAGTCCTGCCTGTAAGGAACTTATTTTTTATCTGGTAGGGAAAATAGTGTATGTACCAAAGTAAGGCACGGTGCCAGTGAGAGAAAGTCCCATATTGTATATTATGATTATAACTAGTAAACACTAACCAAAAGATATACTAGGAACTACTGAAGTGTGATGAATTAAGCCCTTTCACATAGAACACGTCTACTTTGCATCAGCCATTTTCAGAATGGCTGGCAGCCACACACTGGCAGTTTCTCACTTGACAGATTACAGCATCATTCCACTGCTTTCTGAACAACGTCTTATAGTTTACTGAGGGGGGCGGGGGGAATGCACCTTGGTGAGTCTAAGTAATGTTTTCTCCATACAACTGTGACACAAAAATAAATACCAGCAAAACAGCGCCTGCCTACAATGGCAATGGCCGTGTGGTCAAAGCCAAGGAGCCATGTGAGGAAGAGAATCCTGGATTCCAACCAGCAGAAGAGGTCACGAAAGACCACTTTTATGTGGAGCAGGGCAGCAGGCTAGGGACACAAACACAGAAAACGCTTTCAAACGTGACATGTAAGCACACCACACTGACGATGTGCTAAACACTGTTCTAAGCTCTCTCCATACCACAGATCAATTTACACTAATATAACACTGTATGTCAAGTATACTCTAATAAAAGTTTTTTTTGCAGGATTACCTAATTATTTCAATTCTTACAATACCCTGTCAGGTGGGTGGTTTATGATTGGGGAAACTGAGTCACGGGGGATTATTTTGTTTGTTTGTTTGTTGTTAGGTAACCTGCGCAGCCCCACAGCACAGAAGGGCAAAGCCGGATTTGAACAAAGGCTGTCTCTGCCCTTAGCCACTCTGCCATGCAGTTTGAATTTAGAGCCAATAGTCATCTCCTTTCCCCCAAATTGTCATTTTCCCTCTGGCCCACCCCCTTTTCTTTCTTTCCACATGTGACCACACTTTGCTGATCACCGCGAGAACACACCAGCTCCCAGAGCGGAGCTCTGCCCTGCAGCCGCACGCTGCAACTCTGGCCTTCCGCACACACTCTCAACTCCAATGTGAACCCGCAGCCACCACGCTCTTCCCTGGGCAAGTCTGAAACAGTGCGACCGTCTGCACGGAGAGGTATGACACAGATGTCAGCTGGGAGAGTATGAAAACAACAACAAATGCACGAGGCCCCCGAATTCCCCGTTAATAACGAGCTGCAGCGCCCCACTGAGTTTTCTGTGTCACCAAGTCCTCCGGGTTGTAGTCACACAAAGGCAACTTTGTCTTAAGGAGGCTACTGAGAAGATGGGCCTAATCTCAGCAAGGGCTTGGTGTACCAAGAACCATGTTATTATTTTAAAAAATAAATGACAACAAACAAAAAGAAATATTATTTAAGCAGTCTTTTCCAAAGTCCCAGTGCTCTCACGGATATGTATCCCTCCTTTTAGAAACATGGATGTTTCACCTGGGCTCCAAAGGCCCAAATATACATTTTCAGAATGGCAATCAAATTCATCTAAGAGAATGGACACCTGGAAAAATCTTCCTTTTGTGAAATACTTCTTTATGTTTTCTTTTCTCGGCACAATGTGACTATTTTATAGAATAATCGAGTGGGGTCTCAGCACTCTAAAAGCTGAATGCTTTTTGTCATAATTTTTGCGGGCTGGCGTTTCCTTGGTCAGGTAGAGGCGTCCTGCTCCTTTTCACCGGCACAATGCCCTGCATTCATTGTGCACCCACCGCTGCCCACTGGCACACACAGTTAACTCTCACTCGCCCGTGTGGATTATCCATGGCTTCTGGGATCGGGCTGTCTTTCTCCCCAGCTGGTGGAAACTTCCATACTAGCAAGATTGACTATCATCTAAGCAAAGCGCAATCAGAAGACAGAAACCGTCAGCAACTCCCCTTCTATTCAATATACACCCACTGGGCACTGACCGTGGTCTTGACACTGGGCTGCCACATCCGTAAGAACCACAGACTATCCCCAAAGCCACGTATCATGATTTCAGAAGATGGTAGATTGTTTCCTTGACTAATATGAATGGCTGAAATGTATAAGTCAAGTATATATTTTGTGCTCCCAGGAATCTACTAAGACCAAAGGATTAATATTTTTCCAAAATCACACAGAGTTTTCAGGGTTCCGATGCTACCACTTGTCTCTTCCTGATGTCATCTCTTTCAAATGGCCTTCAGCAAGGTAGGGATTGTGCGACTGTACTTCTGATTTCTAAAATGACCCTCTCAAACCTGATAGGGTTTACCGAAACGGCAACCACAAACTATAGTCATGATTTCTGTTATACTGTCAGTTTACTTATCTTTTGTATTTTACAAACACATAAATCATATATATCTAAACACGTTTCACAAATCATTTTGCATGAACTAAATTCATATGACAAAAGCTGAATATTCACAACCAAAAAAAAGGTATACTCTCATTATATAGGTAGGTTACAGAGGCTGAGCTGAGTGTTTCACTTGTCCTTAAATCACTGCAGAAAGTAGAGGAAAGACACAGTGGGAGTGAGGCTGAAGGGCTTGAGCCTTTTGTAACCAGTTTACTTTTAGGCGTACCAAGCGATGGTATCTTAAACTCATTCAAATTAGCAATTTATTGCAGTGCACTAGGAGCATCTGAACTTTCAAAATGTGGGGGGATGAGCCTTAAATTCCCTCAGTCCACAGTTCACCTTCAGTATTAAAGGGCATTGCTAATCCCCATGTGGGCTTTCTGGTAAATTCTGTATTGCTAACAGTGTTCGGAACTCACCTGCTTCTTGGCCATTTATTCCTCCAGACACTCTCTCCCCTTCCACTTTCACTGGAAAATTCCTCCCTCACCTTTCCGGACAAAATAAAAAAGGTTCTGAAAAGGGGTGGGGGGGTACACTGACTTCAAAGGAAAGCTACCTTCCCGTCTCTCTCCTCTCTCCCGTACAGATGCCGATGGACTAGAAAGGGAAGCAACTACGACAGTGACAGGAGTAGAAGCAGTCAGAAAACAAGCTCAGGTGATCTCAGGAGTGTTTTACTGACACCATGGTTCAGGACCACACTCAATAAGTGGCAGTGTGCCATTCCCCCCTAAATCCCTCCAGTATGAGAAGTTTCCACAAAACGTGAGGTGGCAACTGAACAATTAATTATTCTTATTTCTATGATAGTGCTTCTCCGAGATTATAAAGGCCCCCTATCTCATAAACCAAGTCATCTGCATTGCCACTGCTGAAAATCTTTTTGCAGTTGTTCTTTAAAGCAATTACTCTGAGCAGGTGGTTGTTTGGACTAACATGTACCTCTTACAAAATTAAACCAGAAAATCAACACCATCATAAGACACAGAAACTGCTCCCAAGAGGAAAGCTGTCTCTCTTAATCAGGCCATCACTTGAAAAGGTCCAATATAACCTTTAACTTAGCATCATTCTGACAACCGCTTTTTAAACTGCATTACATCTTCGCTGTAACTTCATAAATGTTTGGTGCACATTTCTAGAGTCATGAAAAATGTATCGTTTTTCTAAGTTTCATAAATCCCAAACTAAAGCCCTCTTCAGAGTTAAGTTGTTTTTTTCCCTTCTAGGATCATGCATTCTCTGGGAAAATCGAATCAGTTTCACTTGAACCTTAGTCTGTTTTTTAAGAGGTCCCCTTCCTCCCACCAGCACCTGCATTCATTCCCCTGCCTGGTCCTGAAAAATCAGAAGGGACTTGAAATGTGGAGGTGGGAGGTAGACAAGAAAGGAAACAAAACCCCAGATTTATTTCTTTCCCTCCTCCTGTTTTCTCTCTCACACCGGGTTGGCTTTGTCACCCTCCAAGATTTCAGATCATCAATCTGACAAAATTACTGTTTAAATTAATAGTGACACAATCTCCCACAAAGTGTTATCTGATTGCCTAGGTGGGGTACTTGGGTTTGTCTAAGAGGGGGTGTTTTATGCCACTGACAACCTTTCACCGTTTAGAATCAGCGCCTGAAATTCTCAAATGCTCTTGGTCTAGTTGCAACTGTGCTTAAAACTGTGTCCACCCTCTCCATTCTCTCCCCTGACAAATTCATGCGATCCAGCAATAAAACATTTAAGGAACACATTTCTAATCTACATTCCTGCTAAAGAAAACGGAGTCATTAAAATGTCAATAGGAAAAATTACTTGATTTTTTTTTCCTTCAAAGCCGTATGGCCTACAAGAAATATCTTGAGGACACTATCTTTCTATCATTCTGACAAGCCTCAATAAAGAAGTCACAGCCCCAAATGCCTTGGGACAGTACCCAAGAGTAGATGAACTTTTACCTAATTAAAAAAGGAATCATTTATTTGGAAAGATTCCATTTCATTTATTTTAACTGGTTTCTTAAATATCTGGCGACTACTGATTGGTCAGCTGTCATAATTCATCAGCCGTACACTTTCACGCAGACTGCGTTTTTAGCTTGAAACAACTAGGCCTCCACTCATTGTTACCTTTGGAGGTACATTAGTACAGGAAGACATCCTACCCACCCACCCCCTGCCCATCCTTACCATTTAAATGAGATTGCTGTCATGTTTCCTCACTCTCACTTTAATAATCTGAGTCTAAAAAGTCACCTGTGCCTCTGGATGGCCCAATTGTGTGTTTGCAAGGGCAACAAAAATTTGTTTCTTGTATAGAAAAGGTTTCATCACCACAGGAAACATGATGTGGATGACTGTATATGACTTTCTGCTTTTCCAGAAGCTGACGCTTTTAAAATCTTTTTATAAACCATTTCCTCCTCACTAAATATACCAGAGTCAAAAGGAAGGTGGTAGCATGAGGGCTGTAAGGGCTAAAGAGAGGAGAAAATGAAATAATTTCAAAATAGGGACCAAATGTAAGATGGAAGGGACAGACAGTAGTTAGAAGGATTACCAAAAACCACCTTACCTTTGTTATGTATTTGGAATCGCCCACTTCAGAAATTAACACCATTCATTCACAGCCCGGCAGCAATTTGCACGGCTAGCAAGTAACCTACAACATCTTCTCCGCCTCCCTCTTTTTAATGTAAAACCAAAATGAGGAGTGTCCAGCTACTCCCCACCGCGCCGCTTAAAGCAACAGGTCGTTTCAGGCTTAACTCCCAGGCTCTGGGAGTTCCAGTTTGTCACAATTTTTTAACTTTGGAAACTGCAGAAACTCAGTACGAGGACTCCTCCCCGAGCCCCGGCTTCTCACTTCCCCAAGCGGCACATTCCAAAGTGGGAAGCAGGAGCTAGAACCAGAAGGCAGCTCTCGGTGGCTCAATTCCTGGCGGGAGCAAGAACTTGAAAGCGCGGCGATCCCCCCTGGCAGAACGGCACTGGGTCCGCACCCCGGGGAGCTCAGCGGCCCGGGAGCCCAGCTGCGCCTGGCGCTGCGCACTGAGAGCGCTCAGCGTCTGGTCTCCGAGCTCTTCCCTGTTCCCTCCTCCCTCCTCCCGCTGCCCTCCCCCGCCGAGGCCATTCGCCTCACAGTAGCAAGGTTGTCTCTCGTCTACTCCCTTCCCTTAAACTCACCAAACCAGATTTTTACTCTCAACACCGGCAACTTCCCGTAAATCTGCACTGAAATTTTATCCTGCTCGCTGAGCCTCCGCTGGCTTAAGGCCAGTGCAACATTCCTGTTGTTTTAGGAGCCGAGATACCTTTGCTGAAGGTTAAAAAATAAATCTGCCTTGATCGGAGAGATTTGGGGACTTCACCGGACAGGCTTCTCTCCCAGCTCAAAAGTCACACCCATTTCAGGCATCCAGAGATGACCCCAGAAGTGACACCTGCTCCACCTGAGGACATCTGTGCGAAACAGACGTCTGGCCCCTTTGGGCTGTTCAGAGAAACCAAGCAGAAACAGGTTTGAGGAATAAGGAACCTGCCGTTGAATCACGAGCCGATCAGCACCACCCCACCCCCGTCTTGCCCTCGTAAAGACGTCGTTTAACCCGGTGGGATCAGAGCGAGCACAGCGCCGGACCTGCCGGAAGAGGGGACCTCCCAGAGTGTGCTTACCTGAAGCCAAGCACTGCTCAGACCAGCGCAGGAACCAGCGTCACGCGGACGGAGCCTGACCTTTGCCGGGGGCCTTCGCAGCAGGGCCCGGGGCCTGGGCGCTGCTTGTTCAGAAGTGGCTTAATTTAATGCGCTCTGCCCTAAAGTTACAGCTGGTTTCTAGAAAGGGAACAAAAAAAAAAAACACTGAATTTAAAAACAGCAGCCGAGCCCTCCCTTAACCTCTCTTGATCTCTGAGGAGTTGGTTCTAACCCCCACCCCCCCCATCCCCATCCCAAAAAAGCCCGCAATCTGTGCCCCACCCCTTGGCATTACCTGTTTACACAAGAGTTAAGGAGCCTCACGCATTTCAATAGAGCGCTAAGCTTGTTTGCAGGCGAGTAATCGGCCAACAGGAATCGAATTCTGTGACTAAACAAACTAGAAGAGGAAGCAGGCACCACCAGGAACCTAAAACGGAGTTGTGATTTCGGGTTGCAGTGTCATTCAGCCGAGGGGGGAAAAAAAGTATTGTTTCTCTTTGGGCTACTTTAGTGAAGGTCTCGTCCAAAAAATGTTTTTTTGATGGGTAAATAGTTAATACATGCAAAGAGGTTGGAACAAGTGCCTGACACACAGTGTCAGTTGTTGTTATTGTTTTATTATTATTGTTGTTATTATTACGGCTTTTTTTTTCCTGAAGAGGAGAGTGTGATCAGAGAAGTAGGATCTAGAATCATCAGTAGTAAGTCCATGAGCAATTTTTTTAACCCTCACCCAAGGACATTTGTTCATTGCTTTTTAGAGAGAAAAGGAGAGAAACGCCCATGTGAGAGAAACATCCTGGCTGCCTCCAGCAGAAGCCTGCACCAGTCACTGTAGGCACACCGGCCGCGGATGAACCTCCACCTGGGTGTGTGCCCTGACTGGGAATGCCAACCCACAGCCTTTCAGCTACAGAAGGGCACTGCAACCAAGCCATGCTGGTCGGGACAATGAGCAATTTTTTTGAAATTTCTGCCAGCTTCAGTTTCTGGAAGAGTCTGATGATGAGATTTCTTTTGCTAACAGTTTACATTGGGATTCACGTAGAATTGATTTTCATCTCACTTAAAAGTTGCAAGATGGACAAGGCACGTGGAGATAAGTCGGCCTGTCCACTCTGTGAGCTCACTAGTAGAGAGGAGACTCTGGCCCCCGAGCAGCAGCCCTCCTGTGTGCTTCATTCTAATTTGGGTTTCGGCATCTGATTGGCTCTTTGACCCTGGGGGAGTTCCCTACCTGATTTAGTTAGAAGCTGGTGCAAAACAAATCATGGTCGAATGCCATTTAAAAACAGTGTGAAATAGGGAAAAAATGATTTTTAAACTCCCCATGAATATTGAAAGTGATTACTGAAGACTAAACTGTGATCAGTGCCAACAGGACACCCTTTTCCCGCCACTTAGCTCCACTTTTAAAGAAGAAATCCCTTTTCATTAATGAAGCCCTTCGTACTTGACCAAGCACTTTCACCCGCCTCATCTGACCTGATCTTACAAATCAGTCCTAAGAGCCACTTTATACCATTTTTGCAGATTAAGACACTGAGGCCAATTAGTTGAAGGTTTATTTCACGATGGGGTGGAGACTAGTTCACAGTTCTGGTTAAATCTAAAAACAGCACCCGCCACCTTTCGGGAAAGATTCCTTAAAACTAGCAAAGAATTCTGAAACATTTCGGTCCCTTTGATTTTTATTTTCCCAATGGCAAGGTTTAACTCTGATCAATTAAACATTTTCTGAATTTTAAATTCATTTCTTGTCACTACAAGCCGGGGTGAACTATCAACAAGGAGTCAGAATACTCCCAGGTCCTGTCATCCTATCAGGGGGTTGACACTGCCAGGCATGAACAAGGGCTCCGCAGCCTAAAAAGTCCATGTCGACATTAGCCTTTCTTCTCTTTTCCAGAAATATCTGGACTGTGGCCTTTAAAAGCTTCTCACTGTCAGGGACCCTCTGAGTGAAAAGGCTCAAGAGGGGACATTCTCAGGTCCCACAGATTTTCTACCTTGGAACAGCCTTTTCCTAGGAAGCACCAGGCCAAAGCCTGGGGACCAGTGAGCAGAAACAACGGAGTGAGTTTGAGAGTGTGAAGCCCGTGACTCTGGATGAACTGGAGCTGCAGTCAGGGAGGATGGCCCCAGGTCCGGGGAAGCAAGTCCTTATGGCAGTTCTGACTCAGTTACTTTCAAATGTTGTCTGGAACATCTGCTTCTTTCTTCTCAGTTTTTGCCCCCTGCCACCTATTGAATGGGTGTAGTTTTTGTTCCTAACTACTTGGCACTCCTTTCCCCAGAAATATGGCAAAAATGAAACAGATTTTTTAAGAGGAAGGCTATAGAAAAAAAGTGAGCTTTCATTATTTCTTCTTTGTGGCAGATCCTTGATTACTACTACTACTAATAATTCCCAGGCAAACCCCACGCTCCTGGGGCATTTTGGGTATGCGAACCCCTTCCTTTTGTTTTCTGCTTCCTTCTTTCCCTTCTGTCTATGAGGTAATGTGCTAGAGTGAATGCAAACATGGGGATTGGTTTCTCACAGATTTTGAGTTTGAATCTTGATTTTATCTCTTAGCTGCGTGATGCTGAACAGATTGCTTAACTGCTCTGAGCTTCGGTTTCTTCATTATAAAATAATAACACCTACTGTTCTGGATTTCTATATGAGTTAAACGAGAGATGAAATCTTAGCACAATTCCTGCTATACCAAAGTTATTCGAACAATGGTATTTCCTTTCATACCTGGAAAAAAAAACCCTGTTCCACAGCTCACAAAGAATTCTTTTCCATATTTAAATCTTAGATCAAATAACAGTATTCAAAGATACCCCTCAGTAACAAAGGCAAGCCTCAGACCCTTGTAAAAGAACCAAAGCATTGGGCTGGCCAAAAAATATTGTATGTTTTTTCTGTAAAATGAAAGACACATTTTTCATTTTCACCAATAACTTTATTGATATGAATATTTTGAGTATGTCAGCTATCTCCTGTGTGGTCGAATGTTGACTGTTCTCAATTAACGCCTTGATTTGATTGCTATCAACTTCAACTGGTCTACCTAACTGTGGAGCATCGTCCAGCAAGAAATCTTGAGCATGAAAGTTCACAAACCACTTTTGATGCTTTTGAAAGTGTCACGGCACCTTCTCCATACACTGCACAAACCTTTTTTTGCATATCAGTTGCATTTTTACCTTTCTTGAAATAATAAAGCATAATATGCCAAAAAGGTTGCACATTTTCTTCCATCTTCAATATTAAAATGGCTACAAAATTCACCAATTTTGATGGGTTTTTTTTAATGCACGCTGATATGACGGCTGCCACAACACAATCTAACAAAATTATTTCAAATGAAGTTAAAGGCAACTAAGCCCTACCAGAGCCATCTTATGGGAAAAAAACACAGACATTTTGGGCAACCAAATATAGTAACAACCACTTGTGTACATAGCATTTCCCATGAGATATTGTTGTCATCTTTGGTCATCACAACCGTGTGAGTCGAGGGAAGTGTGGGTAAAGCGCGAATCCCGTGTTTTGCCCCATTGCTCAGATCAGGAAACTAGGGTCTGAAGAGTTGTTCTGAGTTGCTAGTCAGTAGCAGAGTCAGGGTTTGGTTTTGTTTTACTGCTTTTTGCTATTCCCTACTACTGGAACTGCGATTACTTTATTATTTTTTTTAAGATCTTATTTATTTTATTTTTAGAGAGAGGGAATGAGAGGAAGAAAGCAAGGGAGAGAAATATCAATGTGTGGTTGCCTCTTATGCGCCCCTCACCAGGGAACCTGGCCCACAACGCAGGCATGTGTCCTGACTGGGAATCGAACTAGCAGCCCTTTGGTTCTCAGGCTGTCACCCAATTCACTGAGCCACACCAGCCAGGGCGAACTGTGATTGCTTTATTCCTACTCCCAATCAGGGAGCAGAATCAATGAGTTCCAAAAGGTTGTTTTAGTTCATAGTTGTCAGGAGACAGCCACGAGATTCTGGCCAGAGTTTCTGGACACTTCTCATTTAGGAGGCATGGAAAGCCACACACACAAAAAAAGCCATCAAAGATCTGTGCCCTATGAAAGTCAGGTGTGCTGACCCTATGGAGTAAGCTTCCAATTCTATGACAAATAGAAGGGCAGCAAGGCAAAGAGCTTGGGCTTGATGTCAGCCAGATTGAAGGTTACGTCCTGGCCGTTGCGGGGGTCATGGGCAAGTTACCTAACTTCTAAGCCTGAGTTTGCTGCCAATGGCAATACCTAACTGTAGGGTCATGATGATGATTAAATAAGATGATATACATAAAAGCACAATGCTCAACACAAGTTTTCAATACATGTTAGTTATTTTTCTAACCAAAGAACATCTACTA